GAGGCCAGACTGGTCTCCAGAGCGAGTGCCAGGATAGGCTCCAAAAGCTACACAGAGAAACCCTGTCTCGAAAAACAAATACAACAATAATAAAAAAGATATAGGCTAACAGAATGGATACGAAGACAGAATCCATCCTTCTGCTGTTTACAAGAAACACACCTCAACTTCAAAAACAGGCATTACCTCAGGAAAAAAAGGTTGGGAAAAAATTTTCCAATCCAATGGCCCCAAGAAACAAGCTGGTGTAGCAATCCTAATAGCTAACAAATTAGACTTCAAACTAAAATCAATCAAAAGAGATGAAGAAGGGCATTTCATACACATCATAGGAAAAGTCCATCAAGATGAAGTCTCAATCCTGAACATCTATGCCTCAAATACGAAAGCACCCACATTTGTAAAAGAAACATTACTAAAGCTCAAACCACACATAAAACCACACACACTTATAGTAGGAGACTTGAATACCCCCATTTCACCACTAGACAGGACCACCAGACAGAAACTTAACCAAAAAAACACAGGAACTGACAGAAGTAATGACCCAACTGGGTTTAACAGATATCTATAGAACATTCCATCCAAACACAAAAGAATATACCTTCTTCTCAGTGCCACATGGAACCTTCTCTAAAATTGACAATACAGGTGGCAACAAAGCAAACCTCCACAGTTACAAAAGAATTGAAATAATGAAATAACTCCCTGTATCTTATCAGATCACAATGCTTTAAAGCTAGAATTCAACAGCAATACAAATTGCAGAAAACCCACATATTCATGGAAATTGAATGACACCCAATTGCACCATTCCTGGGTTGATGAAGAAATAAAAAAAAGAAATTAAAGACTTTCTAAAATTTAATGAGAATGTAGACACAACATACCCAAACTTATGGGACACTCTGAAAGCAGTGCTAAGAGGAAAGTTCATAGCACTAGGTGCCCACATGAAGAAACTGGAGAAAATTCACAGTAGTGATTTGACAGAACAACTGAAAGCTTTAGAACAAAAAGAAGCAAACTCACCACCAAGGAGTAGACACCAGGAAATATTCAAACTGAGGGCTGGAATCAATAAAGCAGAAACTAAGAAAACATTACAAAGAAGCAATGAAACAAAGAGTTGGTTCTTT